TTCTAGTAGGGGTGAAACAATTTTACCGAATACTCGAGTACTAGCACTCGCTCGGGTTTTTCATAAATAATCGTACTTGGAATAAATCAGAGCACTCGTTCAATTATGGTACATGCATTTACCACAGAAATCTGCAGTTTCAGAGCAGCAGTCGGCAGATATTGATGTGCAGACTGTGTGATGAACATTTGTTCACGAGTAGAGAGAGCCCAAATGACCCACCAACCAATGTACCCGAGAAAAATGACTGCCACTCGATTCAATCAGGGTTGTATCATGTCATTGGTGTGTAATTTTTAAGAGAAGAAAAATACTCGAATATTCGATCTGAGAAAATCAGAGTACTTCGAAGTACCGTAGAATCCCGAGGATAAGCCCATGGGCTTATCTGTTTCACAAGGACATTTCGGTGGGCTTATACGAGAACATGGGCTTATACGAGGTCATGGGCTTATACGCCGACACCAAGTTGTGCTATTGAAAAGTATCAAGGAAGTGTGAAGTACATTGCTGAAAACCACTGTGCAAACAAAAACAACCGATGATTGTGCTGAAATGTACGAAAAAAACTATAATGTGAATGACTACGTACATGGTATGGCCAAGAGTCCATGATTTATGGACTCTCGGTATGACCTAGGCCCATGGGCTTGTACGATGAAGCTTTGTGATGTTCGAACAAACCCTGGTCTTTTGCGCGGGCATGGGCGAATACGCGGATGGGCTTATCCGCGGGATTCTACGGTACTAGAACTCGAACTCGGGATCTCAGTGCAAATTTTCACCCCTAAATTTTAAAAATTAGGTGTAGTAAAATTCCTGTATCACGGACCTGTCAGGTTTCAGGTGTAATGTAGAATTTGGTGACCAGCCTACCCTTCATAAACAGTGTGGACTCCAGTGCCATTTTAGGTGTAATCAGGTTGCGTTTGGTTGGTCACATTCCACAACAGGAATCACTGGGAATCATTCTTGCCCGTTTGTTTGGTCAAATAATTCCGCTAGGTGGGTCACATTCCAGAATGGGAATCACTGATCATTCCAACTTACATGCTGGAATGATCATTCTTTTTCCGGAATCAAAAATGAAAATGGTTGGCACAAGCCTATCAATGTAGCAACAGGCTCAATTGCCTCAAATCATGCACTCAGAAGTACCTTGCCTCTCTTAAGGAAACTAGAGTCGGGTGAAAGAGAAGAGAGCCGTGGTTCCACAATGACATCATGGAATTGTTATGTCAAGGGATTCCAAGTTGATTCTGGCGCGTTTGTTTGGTCAGGTGATTCTTCCGTTCCCATTCTAGAATAGTTTATTATTATTATTATTATTTGAAACTCGGATGTTGAGCCATAAATAAATGTAGAAAAGAAAGGGACATTATGTATACGAGTTAAGAGTAACTCTCCATCACTGTAACTGGATACTATTATACAGTCAGAAAGTGCAATAACTAAGCACAAAACTGACAGAGTACTGAGACATTTGACGTCCTGACACCTAGCTTCAACACATCTCCGTAGCGCTAACCGACAGCCTTCCAACTTGGAAGGTTCGAGGTTATGAAAAGACCAAAGAGGGGAAGGCAAGCGCAACGAAAACGAGCAAAAGCTACATTCCCAACGGAACAAAGAATGTCGATTGTAACTGGACGATGACGAGACCAAAACGATATTTGACAAAGCGGTCTAACTACAATTCGAAGCAGCAAAGCAGCACGCCACCCAACTTGGGTGGGTCATAAGTATTATTGTTACTCGGATGTTGAGCCAATAATAAATGTAGAAAGGAAGAGGATATGTGGATACGAGTTAAGAGTAACTCTCCATCACTGTAACCAGATGCTATATACAGTCAGAAAGTGCAACAATTAGGCACAAAGCGGACAAAGTACTGAGACATTCGACGTCCTGACACCTAGCTTAAACACATCTCCGTACCGCTAACCGACAGCCTTCCAACTCGGAAGGTTCAAGGTTATGGAAAGACCAAAGAGGGGAAGGTAAGCGCAACAAAAACGAGCACAAGCTACAGTCCTAACGGAACAAAGAATGTCGATTGTTACTGGACGATGACGAGACCAGTAGGATACTTGAAAAAGCGGTCTAACTACAATTCGAAGTAGCAAAGCAGCACACCACCCAACTCGGGTGGCTCATAAATATCAAAGATAAGTAAAGAAGGGGGAAGCATTGCGAAAACGAATTGTACAAGCCGAAAGCCAAACTCCTACGGTACTCCTCATGCTTGACATTGTGATGGACTAGTTGACTACAAAACGAGTTGTTTCACACGACGTACGTTTCGCCGTATGGTTCGTGACGGTCCTACTGGTCTCGTCATCGTCCAGTAACAATCGACATTCTTTGTTCCGTTAGGACTCTAGCTTGTGCTCGTTTTCGTTGCTCTTACCTACCCCTCTTTGGTCTTTCCATAACCTTGAACCTTCCGAGTTGGAAGGCTGTCGGTTAGCGCTACGGAGATGTGTTGAAGCTAGGTGGCAGGACGTCGAATGTCTCAGTACTTTGCCAGCTTGGTGCCTAGTTGTTGCACTTTCTGACTGTATATAGTATCTGGTTACAGTGATGGAGAATTACTCTTAACTCGTATCCATATGTCCTCTTCCTTTCTACAATTATTATTTAACTCGGATGGTGAGCCAATTAAATTATTGTGAAAAGAAGAGGGACAATATGTCCACCACAGGGGTGTACGCAGGATTCGGAATGAGGGGGGTGCTCCAACCTTTCCCCAAAGAACCGAATAATGCATTATTTGTGTTCGTTTGATACATGGATGGTTGATATGTTGATGTTTACTTTTACTGTGCCATTTAACCGTGATTCAAGCATTTACCATGATTTACCAAGTCCAGGGAAAATGTAGGAACTTTTCTGTAGAATGGAGCAACCATGAGGCCTTGAAGTGCCCAATCCCAAATATACCCCTCCATATATTTGGAGGACAAAATGTACTTCCTCGGTAAGCTGTGTGCAAGAGTACACTACTCTTGCTAGATCATAATTATCACGAAACCATTTTCAATTTGACTAATGTACTTTGAAGTACTAGAACAACTTACAATACTTCACACATTGAATGGGGCGAGAAGGCAAAAGTACCATAACAACTTCTGGCAGGAGGCACAGAAAAAGCTCCCAGGAGTTTTTATACACTTGCTTCTGGAATGGAGAAATAGAACCATGTAATAGAGGAAGCAAGTGAAATGGATGGTGGTAGCTTCACAAACAGGATACTAGCAGAGGGCTGCCACATTACTGTTAGTAGAAATCAGAAGCAGTGTCTGAGGTGTTCAACGTCAGCTTGGCAAGGGGGCAGCTACCGCTTTAGAAGCCATAGCATGTTTAGGATTTCAAGGGCCCGAAACAACAGATTAGCACACTTTCGTGAGAAATCGTTTTCAGTCGGTTTGTCGGAACAACTGATCGGAGTGTTCCCGGAAAATCGGAATAGAATAAGTTGAGGCCCCTGACAATATGGATAACCCTCTCACGGTCCTGCCACATTTATTGTACATGTAACATGGTGAGCTATGATCAACTTGTGACGACAGCGAGTGGAAAGCAAAACATCCGTTAGAAAAATCTGATAATTGTGCCACGAAAAATCACGTTCAAAAGTGTCTGATTTATGAACATGCCCATTTCACAATGAAGTTTACTAAATATCAAATTCAATCACATCTCAATGTATAGCCTCACTCAAGACCTTTCCAATGGGCCGTCATTTGCGTGAATCGGACAATCGGTTGTAAAGTTATGGTACTTTTAGCGGCATGGGTACAGCAAGTTGACATACATCATGCTACATGTACATGTATGTGGAACATTTTGAGGGGAGTGCTTAAGCACCCAAAGCACCCCTCCCCCCCCCCCCCCCGGGTACGCCACTGCACCAACGTAACCAGATCTTATACAGTCAGCGAGTGCGACAAAATGGCACAAAATTGACAAGGAGTACTGAGACATTCGCAGGACTGCCACTTGCTCCGATTTTCCGGAAATCGTCCGATTTTTGATCACCTGTCGGACAAACCGACCGATTTTGTTCCCAAAGGGGGACAACCGATTATTTTATTTTGAGCGCTTTTTAGTCCAGTTGGCCATTCGGCGCTTCCAGGTCGCGTTTGGCCAGTCATTGTACATGTACACGTAGCAGTAAAATGCACGCGTGCTTGCATGTGTATGGACTGTTAAAATGTGTTCTGAGGCCCCAACAGCAAGCCATTTTCCTGAAATATTTCAACGGGGGACAACCCGGACCCCCGTCAGATTTTTCTCCCTCCAAGTGTGGCAGCCCTGCATTCGGCGACCTGACACCTGCATACCTGCCAAGTATCCAGATTTTTTCGGGATTATCCCGCAGTTTTGGATGAACTCCCGCAATCCCGAAATTCCTGTCGATTATCCCGAAATTCACTGTACAAGAAACAAGCTTGATATTGTACTTGCAGCACTTCAAATGACTTGTCACAGGCCAGTAATTGTCCTTATCGATCCCGGACCGCCATAGCCTGCAGTACCAGTAGATCTCCTAGTGCTCCTTCCATGAGCAGTCTCTGAAAAACCTCCGTTTTTGAGTCTTGAACATGTGTAAGTGTGATCCGATGATCACCATCAATCATCTATTATCGAAATGTTGGTGCCATCAAAAGTTAAAAAAGGATTTTTTTGGTAAAAATATGACATATTCCGAAAAACCAAGGCAAATCCCGGGATTTTGCCATGGCGATCCAGAAAAAGCACTCTGAGTACTTGGCAGGCATGCACCTAGCTCCAACACTTCTCCAAGGCGCAAACCAACAACCTTCCAACTTGGAAGGATCAGGTTCGGAAAGGTCCAAGAGGGGAAGGAAAGCGCAACGAAGAAGAGAACGTGCTACGCATCACGGCAACAAAAGAATGCCGAAAGTTACTGGATGATGACGAAACTAGTGAGACTATTGGACATACCGGCCTTACTACAACTCGACGACGCAAAGCAACAGACCACCCAACTTGGGAGGCTCAAGTTTATGCAATAAACGTAGAAAGGGGAAGCTAAGCGAAGACGAATTGTGACAAACCAAAACGTCAACATCCTACTGAACTCCACTATCATGTATGATGGACTAGTTATGTACAATAACAAGTAGTTCCAAACGACATACGTTTCGCCGTATAGGTCATGACGGCTCATCAGGTGTGCAATATTCAGCTCGGATGGTGAGCCAATTAAATTATTGTGAAAAGAAGAAGGACAAAATGTTACGAGTTATGACCAACGGTCCACCAACGTAACCAGATCTTAAACAGTCAGCAAGTGCGACAAAATGGCACAAAACTGAGATCATTAATTTTATATCTCAGACTTGCTGCAAAACACTCATGCCAATGACGACTATTTGCTCAGGTGACGGTAGGTCAGACACAGAGCTATTGAAGTCCTGGCCGGCCGCCTGCCATTCGGCGAACGTAAACGTCTTCTTGCCGCACTGCACACGGAAGTTTGCCTGGGGTGAGTAGTGACGGTTGTTCCTTGTTTGGAAGACGTGCTGTGCGAGGGTTTGCGGGTCACATTTGTACAGCGTGTAGAAGACACCATCGGGCGTGAAGCACTGGTTACCAATGTAGTACTGATCGGCAAACTCACCGTTATCATCACACTGACAGGCACGTTTGCCAGCCGAACGAGCGGGTATTCCCGGATAGACGATGACATTGCCCGGTCCGGTCATCTTGTCGTGCCCTAGGTATGCCTTCACTCCGCCAAACACCATAAAGTTACCACTGTTGTTGTAGTACGCCGACCCGTCATCGTGGTCAATAGACCAGCGGCCTGCGTAACCATTGATGATGAAGTTCTGCGTGATGTGATTCGGCGCTGGCACGATACTTGGCGGCCCATCGGTACACTGTGCTGGCGTGATGTAGGGTTGTCTATCCCAGCTGTTAAACATCCCATGGTCATCGGTCTCACGCACCATGTTAAAGATCAGGTTTCCGCGCAGGAGAGTGTCACCGCCAAAGCCATCGTTGAAGTTGATACCAGCACGGGGACCGTTATAACAGACATTGTCTACGAACATGTTCCCGCAGGCTAACGCCTGGAAGTAGCAGGAGACTTGCTTGCCGTACATACCGAAATCGTGGATGTGATTGTTGCTGATGAGATTACGGGCCGGGTACGAGGGCTGCATGCCGTCCATCATACCCGCACGCCCGACCGCCACGACGGCACTGTCGCCTGTCAGTGTGATCTCGTTGTGCGATACGGTGCAGTTGCGTACATACTCGGACAGGAAGATAGCGTTGCCGCCGACCGCGTCAAACGTACAATTCGTCACCGTACAGTCCGAGGCGTCTTGAATGAAGAACGCGGCGTTGCGATGTATCGACCAATCACCGCCCGACGGCACCTCGTAGTAATCCAGAAACGTGGTACGCGTTTCAGTGAACGTCAGACCGGCAAAGTGGATGTTCCTGACGGGACGTGAGGAACCGCTGCCACGTAACTGCACTAGACTGAAGTGCTGCGGAGCAACCACTTCAGCATGCTGCAGATCAGCACATTGTGTGGCGTTGGGGTAGAAATAGAGTGTTGATGTGTCTGTGTCCAAAAACCACTCTCCCGGCGAGTCCAACTCTTCGGCTATGTTCTCAACGTAGTAATGATTCTTACCAGCATTTCCACCGCGCGCTTCTTGCCAACCACCGTACTTAAAATACAGCTCGTGTTTCTTTGTATTCACGCTGTCAAGCTGTACGTATGTATGAGCACACACATGTGCAGACACACACACATGTTCACACACACACGCACACACACACACACACACACACACACACACATACACACACACACATACACACACACACATACACACACACATACACACACACACACACACACACACACACACATACACACACACACATACACACACACATACACACACACATACACAAACGTGCACCCACACAGGTGTACACATGCGGCCAACGGATTCAGACACAGTTTCTGACGGAGACACTGAGTTGATTGTGAGCTGCTTTCCCACTTCTCACCCTGGATCATGATGAACAGGCAGTCATAACACCTAGCCACATACTATGACAACAAAGTACATGATTGTACCGTATCCGACATAGAAATCCGTTGAGAAGTCAAGCGGCCACCACGGGATGTTGGCCTCGCAGCCGCAAGCACTGCACTGCTGTCCCATTTTAACAGAGTATGCGTGTGAACTACAGTGCGTGTGAGCGCTAAAAGCAATGAGGCGCCGGCCCGGGTCATCCCTTTGAAAGCAATGAGGCGCCGGCCCCGGTCATCCCATTAAAAACAATGAGGGCGCCGGCCCCGGTCATCCCATTGAAAGCAATGAGGACGCCGGCCCCGGTTATCCCATTGAAAGCAATGAGGGCGCCGGCCCCGGTCATCCCATTGAAAGCAATGAGGGCGCCGGCCCCGGTCATCCCATTGAAAGCAATGAGGGCGCCGGCCCCGGTTATCCCATTGAAAGCAATGACCCAGTCCAGCAATACCATACAACAGCGTGTTATATATCGACCCTGCTCCAAGGGCGGCTGGAATAGGGAACCCAGGAGCAACACCCATATCGTTTAGCGTTACAGGCATGCGTGTCCCCTCCCTCTACGCTAGACTCCCTGGTCTTGACCGGCCGTGGCAGTCTGACCGATTCCTGGTCTTGACCGGCCGTGCCAGTCTGACCGATTCCTGGTCTTGACCAGCCGTGGCAGTCTGACCGATTCCTGGTCTTGACCGGCCGTGGCAGTCTGACCGATTCCTGGTCTTGACCGGCCGTGGCAGTCTGACCGATTCCTGGTCTTGACCGGCCGTGGCAGTCTGACCGATTCCTGGTCTTGACCGGCCGTGGCAGTCTGACCGATTCCTGGTCTTGACCGGCCGTGGCAGTCTGACCGATTCCTGGTCTTGACCAGCCATGGCAGTCTGACCGATTCCTGGTCTTGACCAGCCGTGGCAGTCTGACCGATTCCTGGCCGCATGACAACTCCCCCCGTTACATGACCAACCCTTGGTCCCCCCCCCTTCCCACCCCTCCGCTTCAAACCCATCAAATTCCAAGCGTCATGAGCGTCGGTGACCGAACAGGAGATAGAGATTGCTATATAGGCAGATGTCCTGAATACTCTTGTGTCACGATATTCAGACCCGCAAACACTGGCTACAAAAGCACTGGGCATGCCACATGACTCATAATTGATGACATAATGCATAAGCAGGTCACATAACCAATAATTAATGACATCATGCGTAAGCAGCTCACATGACAAACCATTGATGACATCATGTGCAATCAGGTCACATGACAAATCCACATCACATGACCAGCCATTGATGACGTCATGCAAAGCAGGTCACATGACTAGCCCTTGTGACGTTATGAGTAATCAGGTCACATGACAGCTTACCTGAAACATCCAGTTTCCCCAGTACTGAGTGTGGAACATATGAACAACGCCGGTACTGGGATTGCTCCACGATGCCGTCCTGTTGGCCATCTCTGCGCCGTATTTGATTCCCTTTGGCCGATCACGGTATGGATCGTTCCAGAATGAGTAGACGGGCTGAAGTCCGGGCACACCGTCTAGAGCGGAGTACGTATGATAGTGGAATGATGGCCAGTGATCATCACCAGTGACATGATGTGGACGAACTGGTTTATCCACACTTATCATCGTGTCACTGGGTGAGGGCGCTGCTGCTGCTGCTGTCTGCAGTGTCGAGTGCGAGTGGAGGTCTTGAGAAGCGTCCAGATCTTCCGCCACGCTACCGTCTATAATGTAAAACAAGTCACACAACCAGAGAGAATAGCAGGGGAATGGAGCTGGTATCATTGCGTTCTAAAGGATAACGAGATTTTCATAATTAACAGTTTGTGTGAGACATGGCTGGAGGTCTGAGTTTTTCACATCCACAGAAACACCATCACTCTCTATGTATCAATGCACAGCTGCAGGAACACTATCACTCTCTATGTATCAATGCACAGCTGCAGGAACACCATCACTCTCTATGTATCAATGCACAGCTGCAGGAACACCATCACTCTCTATGTATCAATGCACAGCTGCAGGAACACCATCACTCTCTATGTATCAATGCACAGCTGCAGGAACACCATCACTCTCTATGTATCAATGCACAGCTGCAGGAACACCATCACTCTCTATGTATCAATGCACAGCTGCAGAAACACCATCACTCTCTATGTATCAATGCACAGATGCAGGAACACCATCACTCTCTATGTATCAATGCACAGCTGCAGGAACACCATCACTCTCTATGTATCAAGACACAGCTGCAGGAACACCATCACTCTCTATGTATCAATGCACAGCTGCAGGAACACCATCACTCTCTATGTATCAATGCACAGCTGCAGAAACACCATCACTCTCTATGTATCAAGACACAGCTGCAGGGACACCATCACTCTCTATGTATCAAGACACAGCTGCAGGAACACCATCACTCTCTATGTATCAATACACAGCTGCAGGGACACCATCACTCTCTATGTATCAAGACACAGCTGCAGGGACACCATCACTCTCTATGTATCAAGACACAGCTGCAGAAACACCATCACTCTCTATGTATCAAGGCACAGATGTAGCTCCTAAAGTGGAGGGAGGTGAGTTGATCAGACCCACCACAAAGTGATCAAAGACCTAAAATCCTATTCGCTGCACCCATGAAGCGAGTATTGAGATTACAATAGATACAAATAGGAGTGGACGTCGACCCCCACATGCTTTCATGCTCTTGTAAAGTACATCTGAATAATTTCGCCCGCATAAAAGTTGCAGGTGCATCGTTGTAACGCATGTGCACACGGGAACGTTTGACAATGCAAGTACTGAAAAATCAGTGTTACCTTGGCGATCTTTGAAGAGTTGGTCAAGCCTGGCGTCCTCGGATATTGCACCGCTCGCCGTGGCGTAACCTTGACAACCTTCGTCGCCCTCTTGACTGACATAATAGCACACGCCGGACATCTGCTGAGGATCACCGTTGGGGTAGCGTGCACGGATCTGCCGAACGCCGTTGACGAACAGAGTGGTGAACGTCATGCCTTCTGGTACCTGGGCCTGGAAGACGTTTGTATTTGTTTTGCTCTTTGTCCAGGACAACGTGAGCGGTGTTCCACCACTCAGAGTAACCTGTGTAGCATAGAGAAAGAATAAATACAATGGGAGGTTCTGGTGTGTATTGGGGAGATGGAACTGGCTCCGCTCAGCACCGTTGATCTATCCCATGCTGTGTCGCATCAAGTGAAGCCCGCGTGGCTGGTGTACCCATCTATGCATCCCGCTTTCTGTATGTGTATGCTACGTTCTCTCGTACTACTACTGCGGCGGACAATGGAATCCGTTGAGAAGTTAAGCGCAAACGTGGCGCTGGCCTTGCAGCCACGAGCACTGCATTGCTGATCCACTTTTACACCCGGGGTGCTGGCCTTGCAGCCACGAGCACTGCATTGCTGATCCACTTTTACACCCGGGGTGCTGGCCTTGCAGTCACGAGCACTTCATAGCTGATCCATTTTTACACCCGGGGTGCTGGCCTTGCAGCCACGAGCACTGCATTGCTGATCCACTTTTACACCCGGGGCGCTGGCCTTGCAGCCACGAGCACTGCATTGCTGATCCACTTTTACACCCGGGGTGCTGGCCTTGCAGTCACGAGCACTGCATAGCTGATCCACTTACACATGTGACTTTTACACCCGGGGTGCTGGCCTTGCAGTCACGAGCACTGCATAGCTGATCCACTTAAACATGTGACTTTTACACCCGGGGTGCTGGCCTTGCAGTCACGAGCACTGCATAGCTGATCCACTTTTACACCCGGGGTGCTGGCCTTGCAGTCACGAGCACTGCATAGCTGATCCACTTTTACACCCGGGGTGCTGGCCTTGCAGTCATGAGCACTGCATTGCTGATCCACTTTTACACCCGGGGTGCTGGCCTTGCAGCCACGAGCACTGCATAGCTGATTCACTTTTACACCCGGGGTGCTGGCCTTGCAGTCACGAGCACTTCATAGCTGATCCATTTTTACACCCGGGGTGCTGGCCTTGCAGCCACGAGCACTGCATTGCTGATCCACTTTTACACCCGGGGCGCTGGCCTTGCAGCCACGAGCACTGCATTGCTGATCCACTTTTACACCCGGGGTGCTGGCCTTGCAGTCACGAGCACTGCATAGCTGATCCACTTAAACATGTGACTTTTACACCCGGGGTGCTGGCCTTGCAGTCAAGAGCACTGCATTGCTGATCCACTTTTACACCCGGGGTGCTGGCCTTGCAGTCACGAGCACTGCATTGCTGATCCACTTTTACACCCGGGGTGCTGGCCTTGCAGCCACGAGCACTGCATTGCTGATCCACTTTTACACCCGGGGTGCTGGCCTTGCAGCCACGAGCACTGCATTGCTGATCCACTTTTACACCCGGGGTGCTGGCCTTGCAGTCACGAGCACTGCATAGCTGATCCACTTAAACATGTGACTTTTACACCCGGGGTGCTGGCCTTGCAGTCACGAGCACTGCATAGCTGATCCACTTAAACATGTGACTTTTACACCCGGGGTGCTGGCCTTGCAGTCACGAGCACTGCATAGCTGATCCACTTTTACACCCGGGGTGCTGGCCTTGCAGTCACGAGCACTGCATAGCTGATCCACTTTTACACCCGGGGTGCTGGCCTTGCAGTCATGAGCACTGCATTGCTGATCCACTTTTACACCCGGGGTGCTGGCCTTGCAGTCAAGAGCACTGCATTGCTGATCCACTTTTACACCCGGGGTGCTGGCCTTGCAGTCACGAGCACTGCATTGCTGATCCACTTTTACACCCGGGGTGCTGGCCTTGCAGCCACGAGCACTGCATTGCTGATCCACTTTTACACCCGGGGTGCTGGCCTTGCAGCCACGAGCACTGCATTGCTGATCCACTTTTACAGCCGGGGTGCTGGCCTTGCAGTCACGAGCACTTCATAGCTGAGCCATTTTTACACCCGGGGTGCTGGCCTTGCAGCCACGAGCACTGCATTGCTGATCCACTTTTACACCCGGGGCGCTGGCCTTGCAGCCACGAGCACTGCATTGCTGATCCACTTTTACACCCGGGGTGCTGGCCTTGCAGTCACGAGCACTGCATAGCTGATCCACTTAAACATGTGACTTTTACACCCGGGGTGCTGGCCTTGCAGTCACGAGCACTGCATAGCTGATCCACTTAAACATGTGACTTTTACACCCGGGGTGCTGGCCTTGCAGTCGCGAGCACTGCATAGCTGATCCACTTTTACACCCGGGGTGCTGGCCTTGCAGTCACGAGCACTGCATAGCTGATCCACTTTTACACCCGGGGTGCTGGCCTTGCAGTCACCATGGTTACGAGCACTGCATTGCTGATCCACTTTCACAGTGTGTACATGAACTACAGTGCATGTATGAGCTAAAAGCAATGAGGTCATCCCATTGAAAGCAATGAGGCGCCGGCCCCGGTCATCCCATTGAAAGCAATGAGGCGCCGGCCCCGGTCATCCCATTGAAAGCAATGAGGCGCCGGCCCCGGTCATCCCATTGAAAGTAATGAGGCGCCGACCCTGGTCATCCCATTGAAAGCAATGAGGCGCCGGCCCCGGTCATCCCATTGAAAGCAATGAGGCGCCGGCCCCGGTCATCCCATTAATAGCAATGAGGCGCCGGCCCCGGTCATCCCATTGAAAGCAATGAGGTGCCGGCCCCGGTCATCCCATCGGATTTCAATGTCCACGGCCGTACTATTTACTGTTACGCATACGTTGCCTTGTCACTCACTTCCTGCACGCATGCCATCACACTCTACAATTCATTGCATGTACATTGATACACTGTTATCGCAGTCTTTTCCTCAGTTCTTGTTATGTTCTCCTTGCATTGACAATTCATTTTGATTCTTCATGTATAAAGATTGGTGCTGAGCCGGGTAGCATTTTCTTCGGGTATTGGGTTCAGGTAGTTTTCCACGGGTAGCACGGGTACCCGGTCGGGTAAAGTTTCCATGGTAACATCACAATGCACCCCTTCCCTTACACACTGGGTAGACATGTGGAGTATTGGATGAATTTGTACACGTGCACTGTACATGATGTCATCTGCGACTGTACGGGTTTTCGGGTATTATTAGTATTCTGTACCAGTTTACCCGAGGTCCTCACAGGTAGCACTGGTACCCGACTACCCAAGGTCCTCATGGGTAGCACTGGTACCCGACTACCCAAGGTCCTCACGGGTAGCACGGGTACCCGACTACCCGTGGACACCCCTAATAAAGATATCGAAACCCAACAGCGGCGTGCCCAATGCTTTTGAAGCCAGTGTTTGCATGTCCGCATACCATGCCACCCGCTTTTCAGGCCATCTGCCAATATAACAATCTTTATCTCCTGTTAGGTCAGCAATGCTCATGACGCTTGGTGTTTGATGGGTTTGAAGCAGAGGGTGAACCAAGGTGGTGATATGAAGGACAGTTTAAAAATAATATTAACAGTTTGCGTGAGATATGGCTGAAGGTCGAGTTTTCCGCATCCACAGGAACACCATCACTCTCTATGTATCAATGCACAGCTGCAGGAACACCATCACTCTCTATGTATCAATGCACAGCTGCAGGAACACCATCACTCTCTATGTATCAAGACACAGCTGCAGGAACACCATCACTCTCTATGTATGGAATCAAGCAAGAGTACGAGTGTGAGATCGCCTAATCACAGCCCGCCGCGCGAAGCGCGAAGGGCTGTGATGCAGGCTGATCGAGCACGAGTGCGAGTGTTTTGATTGCATTTCTGACATGCACCCACGCTTGAAACTCATATCGAACTTGAAAATACTTCGCGAAGGGCTGTGATTGGCTGATAGAACATGAACACGACTGTTTTGATTGGATTTCTGACAAGAACGCGCACTTCGATCTTCCTATCGTGCTTGAAAGCACGACTCTCAGCCTTCTCGAGCCCGAGTCGAGTAAAAAAAAAGCGAGCTTGATCAGTGAATCAAAGCCCTAGTGGAGCGGGCTTTGATCGTGAAATCAAAGCCCGCCTGGGCTAGCTTTGATGGGAAAATCAAAGCCCGCTCCACTAAATATGGAGTTCTACTTCTTGTAGCATGCTTTGATCGCCTCATCTAGGCCCTGCTAGGTGCAATGCGATTGGTCATCTCCGTGCCTACAGTCTTGTGACATGTCAGAAGTATCAATGCACAGCTGCAGGAACACCATCACTCTCTATGTATCAAGGCACAGCTGCAGGAACACCATCACTCTCTATGTATCAATGCACAGCTGCAGGAACACCATCACTCTCTATGTATCAATACACAGCTGCAGGAACACCATCACTCTCTATGTATCAATGCACAGCTGCAGCTCCACAGAGCAGGACAGCTTACAATGAAATCAAATGCGGAATGGTCAGACTTTACTGTGCTTCATGCGCACAGTTTCAAATCCAGAAATACTAGTACACACGCAAATCTCTCTCTCTCTCTCTCTCTCTCTCTCTCTCTCTCTCTCTCTCTCTCTCTCTCTCTCTCTCTCTCTCTCTCTCTCTCTCTCTCTCTCTCTCTCTCTCTCTCTCTCTCTCTCTCTCTCTCTCTCTGTCCTTGTCTCCGCTCTCTGCCCCCCCCCCCCCTCCTCCTTCTCATACCGGTATATAGCCCCATAGCCATCACAATAAAATACACTGATCTGGACTCTAAATTTCCAAACTGTTCCGCTCCGCCATCCCTCCCCCCCCCCCCCCCCCCACCACCAGTAAACTGTACTTCAGATGACTGACCGTACCACACTAAAATACTTTCAAATTCCCCTGCATTCATGCATAAGGATAATGTCCTTGCTGCAATGAATATGTACACGTCTTACCTTGCCATTCGGACGCGAGGCCGTGTAGAGTATTGGTGCGTCTTCGCTTCCACTGTCTTCCACAGACAGATGCAATGGATGCTTCATGAAGTATTTTCCATCGCTAATATTCACCACCGCACCTGCCCACACACTGCTCGAGTTGCTCGCTAGCTGTTGTCGTTTATGATAGCGAATAGCGTCGCGAGCCTGAGCTAGCGTGCTGAAGGGTTTATCTGGTGTTGTGCCGGGATTATGGTCGTCTCCACTCGGTGATACAAACAATCGAAGAGCGCTAGCTGACATACGAGGTATGTGTTCGCTAGGTGGACGAGTGTCGTCTTGCGCCGGAAGATGGTGTGAGCAATTGTCCGCAAAGTTCAGACCCCTCTCCAGAGCCGCTAAATTCGTCCCAGTGCGCTCGGCACCGAACGCTAGCGCTGCCTTTTTCACCTCGCATTCCAAATCAGCAAACGGTTGTCCTGTTGAAAACTGAATGAAACTGATCAGGCAAAGGCAGCTTGCAAACAGCGTGACGGTCATTCTGGCTACGTTTAGCGCACCCACGCAGCGGTTATTCCCTCCCATGCTCAGGAAGTACTCCTCTGTCACTAACGAAACCCTTCAAGGCTACATGGAACTGAAGAGAGGGATGACGACAAGAAGCGCTTTCTTGAAGAAAAGAAGATGCTCACTATGTTCAGATGAAGTGGAGCAAATCAGGAACGTTCGCGGAGAGAGTTTTCTTGGTTCTCATCAGAGTCAGAAGCCAGAACACAAACGGCAGATCCGCTGAGCTCCCAGGACATGAATCACGTGATTGATATCCACACATCGATGACTAGAAAAAGAACCTTTTTTTTGGTGTATGTTGCTAGTGCCAGTAGACCCAGGCCAGGTGCTCGAAGTCCGTACACTTTTACAGTGTGTGTTTGCCGAGCTGAAACTCACACTAGCAATGATCACTTGCCAGAATCCTGCTCGTGGATGGAAGGTATCTTGTCCAAGTTTGTTCTGAGGCCAGGTTCGATTGAACCAGGCCATCTTTCGATCCGATCTGTTTCTCTGGAGTTCGCTGATTTTTCATATCAAATTTTGGTGTCGCAGAGGGTACTCTAAGTCCGTACTGATCAGAGGTGACTTGAAATACACACATATTTCTGCTAATTGCTAACTTGCAATCCCTCGGTTACGACGAAAGCACCGAAGGGATATGTTTGGCATGTGCCTCCACCAGTATTTCTTGCAAAAGCGTAATTTGTTGCCGAAATGCAAGCTGTTTTTAGTCGGCTCAGAGAAGAAGCAGCTGCGCTGTGAAAACCGCGGGAAAACAGTGGTGGAGATGCCAGGAGTGTCAACCTTTCTGCAAGGATTGGTGGTTCTCTGTAAATTCTTCTCCTCTGGCCATTGTCAGCTCTAAGCTGGCTCTTGATGATTGAGTGAAGGTCTGTTTGACGCTGTGTCCGTTCGAAATCGGTCTTGGCAAAGTTGATTTTTGCATGAAATGTAACCCAATTTGTATTTCGTATGGACACTCGAAAACCCACTCGCGTGGTATGGGACTTCTGCTTATCGTAGATCCCTGAAAATTGCTACGCGAGGAGAACATACCACACTGTCCCCTCCATAAAATGTTTGGGTCGAATACAATAACAGAACATGAAATTATGGGCGTACGAACAGTAACTTAGGATACCATGTACGGACTTCGAGCACCTGGGTCCACTAGTGGTACATGCCTACTACATGGTGACAAGGAAGCGCTCAGCTAGCTATAGCTAGCGACTAAAAAAATAATAATTATTATGAAAAGGTTCTTTACTATACTACACAATCGTCATGTAGGTCTACATGGTCTACGAGTTACCATGGTTACGCTACTGTAAAAGCAGAAATTTTCGGTGGTGTTTTATTTTCGGTAACTTCGGTGCCGACAATTTTGACCGAAAATAAAACGCACCGAAAATTTCGGTACAACCGATACTGTATACGTGTAGTACTAGCACACCTACTTCGAAGTACCTGGAAAACGGGTTTTACCGAAAATATTACACCACCGAAAATTTCTGCTTTTACTGTCCGCTAACACCACCAGTTTGACCGTATTGTCCAATGGTCTTGCCAGTATCGTCATCGACATGCATGAACATCCGCCAACGTCTTTCACAGCTGAGACTTTCAGCGCGTGCTTATCTTGGTTGCGCTCACCTTCCCCTCCTTACTACTTACTATACTAGGATGTTATTTCTATCTTAGAACCGTCCAAGTAGTTGGAAGGCTGTTGGAGTGCGCATCCAAGAATGGCAAGATCATGAAGATCTGCTAGAGCTGATAGCCAGGTACATATACAGTGAACTACTGTGTAGTTGTAAACGTCAGTACTGTGACGTCAGTACTGTGACGTCGGTCAGTGTCGTGCAATGTTATCGCATTTTTTTTTTTTTACTAGAGCCACGTAAACCCGTCATGTGTGAGCCATGAATAAGGCCTTAAGGGGAGTGGTGGCGTGGTCTGGGATGCTCTGCCGACCTTGAGCATGAGCTGATAGTTATAGTAACTGGTGGTGTTAGTGGACAGTATAGCGTAACTTGTAGTTCCTTGGTCCTTTCTCTTTTGTATACTTGAAGTAAATAATATTAAACCTTGGCTCTCCATCCGAGTATTAGATAAACCTTGTTTTAGTTCACACATGTTGTTGGTTTGACAGCATGAAACAAGGTAGAGGACACCGTGTTCGGAAACAACCGTGGATGGTTGTAGAAAGGTCACTGTTTCCGAACACGGTGTCGATGTCCTCCACCTTGTTTCATGCAGTCAAACCAACAACACTCAACAGTAATCATGGTAATACTAATAGTCAGACACATGTACATGACTTGTTGTACACTACCTGCTACACTGCAACAACGTCACAGGCATGCACAGGATATCGCAATACACTCAAAAGTACAATGTAATTACGTATTCACTTTGCTTACTACAAATCTGATTGAAGCTCTGATTGAAGCGCTTTACGCTACTACTGAAGCTGCCATCGTTGTTGGATCCACTATCACCGACTGGTTCACCACGTCAGTGGGTGTCAGGCAGGGCTGTTTTCTCGCCTTGTCTGTTCAACGTATTCCTGGAGTACATCATGTATGACGCTTTGGAGGAGTTTGATGGGTCAGTATGTATCGGCGGCATGTGCGTGACCAACCTACGTTTTGCGGATGATATAGATCTAATCGCATCGTCTGTGGAAGAGCTGATGGACCTGACCGAGCGCGTGGATACGAGTGCAACAAGACTAGGCATGCAGATCAATGCTTTCAAGACCAAGTCAATGGCAGCGCCGGAGGGCGGTGGTGATCTGGGGTGCATTCAAGTAGGCAATGAGCGAATAGAAGAGGTATCCCAGTTTAAATACTTAGGTGCCTTAATCACGTCGGATGGCAAGTCCGATGTGGAGATAAGAAGACGCTTAGCACTAGGGAAGCAAAAGATCATTGAGCTTCAATTCATTTGGAAATCGCCATCACTTTCTTTGCCCACTAAATTTCGTTTTGTTAGGTCTATTGTGCTAGCGACTGTTTTATACGGATGCCAATCTTGGACATTATCTGCCTCATCAATGAGAAGAATTTCATCCTTCGAGATGAAATGCTTCCGCCGACTCTTAGGAGTAACATACCACGACCGGCGCACCAACCAATCTATCCTGGAAGAAATCAATGACATCATCGGAGCAAGGATGCGGCTAGCGAACGAAGTCAAGAAATTTAAGTTGATGTGGTTTGGCCATGTTACGAGACATGACGTTTTCTCCAAGCCCTTCCTGCAAGGATCAACTCCTGGATCTCGACCGAGATGAAGGCCCGCGACATCATGGATTTCTAACATTAAAAGTTGGACGGGTCTTCCCTTGCATGCTCTCTCTCATGCAGCACACGATAGAGTTGGATTCAGAGACATCATTCACAATTCTCTCGCTGATTAATGCCTCTACGATCACCTTGTGATTATGAGTTATACATACATACATACATACATACATACATACTACAATTATTACAAGTATTCGTCTCTATGTTGTCTCTGTGTGGATTGCGTGTTACATTTTATTGGCAAATTATTTAATTTGAAGAAGGGCTGAGGCTTCCTGCAGCTTCATCTGTGAAAAGAATTCGGGTGGACACACCCATTCCCATAGCGCTGCATATCACATCCGAACCAGTTCCGTTATTTTTACAACGTTTCGGCACTTGGCCATCGTCAGGTAATAACAAATTATTTAATTATTTGGGTTATCTTTTTGCTTTGGTCTCTGTACATGTAGACTCCACACAAGACTTAATTGGCATTGTGTGGTGTTGGATGTACTAACTACTGTCTGTACTGACTACTGACTACTGACTACTGTCTGTACTGACTACTGTCTGTACTGACTACTGACTACTGACTACTAGTACTGTCTGTACATGTCAGTACTGTAGTAAGATCAAGTACACAATAATTATTTTAGTCTAGTCTAGACTAAAGCCCGGGCACTGGGCCATGGGGTAGTGTGTAAACATGGTGAAGGCTAAAGCCAAGGCCAGGGCCATGGCATGGGCCTGCCCAGCTAGGTGAGTAGGTCTACAGACAGACTTGTAGTACTTGTAAGTATTAGTTGTAGTCTCGCAGGCCAGGCTCAGTACGTGTCGCCACATGACCACAGTCCACAGACAGTCCACAGACAGTCCACAGACAGTCCACAGACAGTACACAGTACACACTACTACTGTACTAGTACTACTCTATCACCACTGACACGGTACCAGTCGGTCGCTGCTGTTGAGTGTTGTTTTGTCACCTACAAACCGTCGTCTTGGCTAGCGGCAGACTTCGGTAAAAATAAGAGCAGAGAGCTAAGGAACGAGGCTAGGCTGTGTGTGAGACACAGCCAAAACTGTAAGCTTCTATCAGTATACTAGTACTAGTCAATAGGGTATGAGATAGCCACCCTTCCACCAGTAGTCTACTGTTGGCGAGTGTTGCTGTTGTTGTTGGATGAGTGGACACAAAGGAGTGATCATCAAGCCAGTGTCGCTATTACCCTACACAGGTATCCTGATGGTCTGGTGATAGTGATTTGGAAAAGAGACACACTGCGCAGAACGTCAGTATCACGTGAGTTAGTAGTGCGTGCCTTGTACTGTGTTGAAGCCGCGTGTGTCGAGAACCAGGATCTACGAAGATCTACAAAGACCGATCGATAGGCGATACTGTAAATCTGCCGTGACAGCTTTTCTCAGCGATAGCCGATACCGGTGCCTGCCGTGAGAGCGTTTTCTTGATCGACACCCAGCGGAGATACTAGCCTTGGTCCATGGCGTCGTTCTGCGTGGTAAGGACTCTATAATAATTAAATGTACAGTACATGTACAACATTTGCGACTGTATGTATTTATGTTGAACTCGGATGGTGAGCCAATACAATTATGATGAAGACTTGAAGGAGGAGGACAAAATGTTACGAATTATGACAAATTTTGTCGCACCCGCTAACTGTATAAGATCTGGTTACGTTGGTGGACAGTTTGTCATAACTCGTAACATTTTGTCCTTTTCCTTTCTTCATCATAATTGTATGTATTTATGTGTCACGTTTATGGTTATTACTTGTACACTTTTGAAGTATTCGTGCCTGTTTCTGTTAGCACATGTATGTCAAACGAATACCAGTAGGTGCGATGCTGCACCGCTGCTTTGCATGTCATGATTGGAAGCTGTGGCCTAAGTA